AAATTGATAAATGTTTGTGGTGACAAATATGCTAACTGCCTTAATTTGGGCATTACACATTAAAGATGTATCAAAACACCACTTTATACACCATAAACATGCACAAATTATTACATGTCAATTAAAATTTTTTAATTTAAAAAAATTTAATTTTTAAACAAAGGATCAAAGACTTAAACATAAGACTAAAACTACAAAGCTCTTAGAAAAAAAGCATAAAGAAAAACCTTCGGCCGGGTGTGGTGGCTCACACCTGTAATCCAAGCACTTTGGAGGCCAAGGCGGGCGGATCACCTCAGGTGGGGAGTTCAAGACCAGCCTGACCAACATGGTGAAACCCTGTTTTTAAATGAATGAATGAATGAATGAATGAATGAGAAACCTTCATGACACTGAAAAAAAATTTTTTTTTTTTTTTTTTTTTTTTTCAGACAGTCTCACTCTGTCACCCAGGCAGGAGTGCAGTGGCATGACGATGACTCATTGCAACCTCCACCTCCCGGATTCAAGCTATTCCCCTGCCTCAACCTCACAAGTAGCTGGGACTACAGGCGTGTGCCACCATGCCCAGCCAATTTTTGTAATTTTAGTAGACACAGGGTTTCACCATGTTGGCCAGGATGGTCTCCATCTCCTGACCTCATGATCGTCCACCTCGGCCTCCCAAAATGCTGGGATTACAGGCATGAGATACCACACCTGGCCATGACATTGAATTTTTTTTTTTTTTTTGAGGCACAGTCTTGCTCTGTTGCCAGGCTGGAGTGCAGTGGTGCGATCTCGGTTCACTGCAACTCCACCTCCCGGGTTCAAGCAGTTGTTTCCCTCAGCCTCCCTAGTAGCTGGGAATACAGGTGCCTGCCACCACGGCAGGCTAATTTTTTTTGTAATTTTAGTAGAGATGGGGTTTCATCATCTTGGCCAGGCTGGTCTTGAACTCCTGACCTCGTGATCCACCTGCCTCAGCCTCCCAAAGTGCTGGATTACAGCCATGAGCCACTGTGCCTGGCCAACATTGAATTTGATAGTGATTTCTTGGATCTCTGATACCAAATGCACAGGTAACAAAAAAAAAAGAAGCAAATTGGACTTCATTTAAAAACTTTGTGCAGCACAGGACTCTACCAACAGAGTGAAAAGACAACCCAAAGAATGGGAGAAAATATTTGCAAATCAAATCTATAGAAGAATTAACATCCAAAATATATATAAAATTCCTAAAACTGAACAAAAAAACCTCATTCAAATACAGGAAAAGGACCAGGTGTGGTGGCTCACACCTGTAATTCCTATGGAAGACCAAGGCAGGCAGATTACTTGAGCCCAGCAGTTTCAGTCCAGCCTAGGGAATTGGGAGGAACCCTGTCTCTCCAAAAGTACAAAAATTAAGTGGGCAATGATGGTGCACGCCTGTAGTCCCAGCTACTCAGGACACTGAGGTGGGAGGATCGCCTGAACCTAGGAACGTCAAGGCTGCAGTGAGCCAAGATAACACTATTGTACTTAAACCTGGGCATCAGAGTGGAACTCTGTCTCTGTGGAAAGGAAAGGAAAGGAAAAAGGAAAGGGAAAGGGAAAGGGAAAGGGAAAGGGAAAGGGAAAGGGAAAGAAAAGAAAAGGGAAAAGGAAAAGGAAAAGGGGAAGGGGAAGGGAAAAGGAAAAGGAAAAGGAAAAGAAAAAGAAAAAGAAAAAGAAAAAGAGAGGACTGGAATAGAAATTCTCTCAAGAAGACATACAGGTGGCCAATACGCACATAAAACCATGCTCAGCAACACCATTTGCTGAAAAGATGATCCTTTCTCCTAAATAAATAGAAAAAGTTGGCAGGGATGTGGAGAAACTGGAGCTCTGTTACACTGCTGGCAGGAATGTAAAATGGTGTAGCCAATAGAAAAAAATAGTATGGTGGTTCCTCAATAAAGTTAAAAACAAAATTACCATATGATGTATCAATTTCACTTCTGGGTACTCAAAGAACTGAAAGCAGGGTCTCAAAGAGATATCTGAACACTCATGTTCTTGGCAGCATTATTCACCATAGCCAAAATGCGGCAGCAAATATATGTCAATGGATGTTAGAAAAACAAACTAACTGGTGGCACATGCCAGTAATCCCAGCACTTTGGGAGGCCCAGGTGGGTGGATCTCTAGAGGTCAGGAATTCAAAAACCTGCCTGGCCTTCATCATGAAACCCACATCTCTACTAAAAAATACAAAAAAATTAGCCAGGCATGGTGGTGAGGACCTGTAATCCCAACTACTCAGGAGGCTGAAGCAGGAGAATTGCTTGAACCCAGGGGGCAGAGGTTACAGTGAGCCGAGATTGCGCCACTGCACTCCAGCCTGGGCAACAGAGCGAGACTAGCCTCAAAAAAACAAAAAAAGAAAACCAAATGTGGTTTACATAAACGGAATAATATTATTCAGCCTTACAAAAGAAGGAAATTCTCATATATCCTACAACATGGATGACCCTTGAAGACATTATGCTAAGAGATATAAGCCAGACACAAAAGGACAAATACTGTATGAGCCCACTTACATGCAGTACTTAGAGTAGCCAAATTCATGAAGACAGAAAATAGAATGGTGGTTTCCAGGGGTGAGGAGGAGGGGAGAATGGGGAGTTATTGATTACTGGGCACAGAGTTTCAGTTTTGCAAGGTAAGATGTTCTGTGGATACATGGCAATGATTGTACAATGTGAATGTACTTAATGCCACTGAACTGCACACTTAAATCATTAAAATGATTTTAAAAATTAAACATTCAGACATGATTTTTTAAAAACCAAACACTGTATGGTTCCACTTGTATGAGGGAGTCAAACTCACAGAAACAAAAAGCAGAATGGTGGTTGCAAGGGCCAAGGGAGGAGCAAATATGAAATTGCTTAAGGGACACAGAATTTCAGTTTTGCTAAACGAAAAGGTCTGGATAGGCCGGGCACGGTGGCTTACGCCTATAATCCCAGCACTTTGGGAAGCCAAGGCTGGTGGATCATGAGGTCAGGAGTTCAAGACCAGCCTGGCCAACATAGTGAAACCCCGTCTCTACTAAAAATATAAAAATTAGCCAGGTGTGGTGGCAGGCGCCTGTAGTCCCAGCTACTTGGGAGGCTGAGGCAGGACAATGGCTTGAAGCTGGAAGTTGGAGGATGCAGTGAGACAAGATATGGACACCTGCACTCCAGCCTGGGTGACAGAGTGAGACTCCATCTCAAAAAAAAAAAAAAAAAAAAAAAAAAAAGAAAAAAGAAAGAAAAAGTCTGGATATTGGTTACAACAATTGAAATTGTACACTTCAAAATGATTAAAACTAAAATGGTCACTTTTGTGAGACAGAGTCCTGCTCTGTCATCCAGGCTGGAGTGCAGTGGTGTGATCTTGGCTTACAGGCAACTCCCAGGTTTGAGCAATTCTCCTACCCCAGCCTCCCGAGTAGCTGGGATTACGGGCACCCACCACCTCAATAGGCTATTTATTATTTTAAAAAAGTTTTTTTTTTGAGACAGAGTCTAGTCTCTGTCACCAGGCTAGAATGCAGTGGCAGAACCTTGGCTCTGCAACCTCTACCTCCTGGGTTCAAGCAATTCCCCTGCCTCAGCCTCCCAAGTAGCTGGGACTACAGGCACCCACCACCATGCCCAGTATTTTTTTTAATTTTTTATTTATTTTTAGTAGAGACAGGGTTTCACCATGTTGGCCAGGATGGTCTCAATCTCCTGACCTCATGATCTGCCCGCCCTGGCCTCCCAAAGTGCTACAATTACAGGCATGAGCCACTATGCCTGGCCAATTTTTTATTTTTAGTAGAGACGAGGTTTCATCATGTTGGTCAGGCTGGCCTCAAGTGATCCTCCCGCCTCAGCCTCCCAAAGTACTGGGATTACAGGTGTGAGCCACTGTACCTGGCCTAAAATGGTAAATTTTATGTTATGTGTATTTTACCATAGTTTTAAAAAAAATGTTATACATGAATACAGAAGATACACACGGAAGATTTGCACACACATGGAAGATGTTTTGTCTTCAGAGTTTACTTGGAGAAAGAGAGTGGGGAAAGTGCATTTAGTTCACTGATTGAACAAACTGAGCGCCTGATATAACACCAAATAGTTCCTCCAAAAGAAAATTACTGATTATCCTAAGTGAAATGACAAAAGCTTTTGAAATTTATCAGCTCTACAATTAATTCTAAAAAACTTGAGCTAGGCTGGGCACAGTGACTCATGCCTGTAATCCCAGCTAATCCCAGGGTGGATCACCTGAGGTCAGGAGTTCGAGACTAGCCTGGCCAACATGGAGAAACCCATCTCTACTAAAAATACAAAATTAGCCAGGCATGGTAGTACATTCCTGAAATCCCAGCTACTCTGAAGGCTGAGGCAGGAGAATCACTTGAACTCAGCAGACGGAGGTTGCAGTGAGCCAATACTGTGCCATTGTGCTCCAGCCTGGGCAACAAGAGCGAAATTCCCTCTCAAAAACAACAACAACAACAACAAAGAAACACTTGTGCTAGTTTTCTTCTCATGTAAACTCTTGATCTATGATGGTTTTTATTTTAATAGGTTGAACTCATTCCAGACTGAGGAAAGGAACTGGACACTAGAAGAACTGACTGAATATGATCAAGTCACTTTTGCCTCAAGCAAACACAAACATCAAATGACTTCATTGATCAACTTTATAGAAAGTACTTTAGCTTGTAAACCCTACTTTTCATCTAATTTGGTATGAATTCTGGGAGTGCGGGTGATGGGATAGGTCATATAAACTGCGACTCCAAGAAAAGATTTTTAAAATCCCATTATGTTTTGTTCCTTATTACAGAAGGGTCCCTCTGTCTAACTTTTAGTTGTTTCATCCACAATACTATAATGCTTTTTCAAACCCAAGCCCAACTGAACTAAATACACAGTTGCTGATAAGAATGGCTTTCCTAAGCTATCATTTCACCATGTGTCACTCTCTTCCTACTTAAGGGATTTACTTACTTGGTCAACTTGTGGCTTTTCATTGCTGTGAGAAATTCTCTGACAATCTCAGGACTCTGGTGCCTGCACGGTGTTTTTGATATGTATTTTAACGTCTGGAAAAAAAAAAAAAAAAGCCAAGCATAAGACAAAGAATCCTGAATGAGAAAAAAGGAAGGCAATGGCTATAATCAGAATTCTAAAATTTTGTTTTAAAAATCCTGTCACCAGGCACGGTGGCTCAAGCCTGTAATCCCAGCACTTTGGGAGGCCGAGGCAGGTGGATCACGAGGTCAAGAGAGTGAGATCATCCTCGTCAACATGGTGAAACCCAGTCTCTACTAAAAATACAAAAAATTAGCTGGGCATGGTGGCGCATGCCTGTAATCCCAGCTACTCAGGAGGTTGAGGGAGGAGAATTGCCTGAACCCAGGAGGCGGAGATTGCGGTGAGCCGAGATGGCGCCATTGCACTCCAGTGTGGGTAACAAGAGCGAAACTCCGTCTCAAAAAAAAAAAAAAAAAAATCCTGTATAGGCTGGCCACAGTGGCTCACACCTGTAATCCCAGCACTTTGGGAGGCTGAAGTAGGCGGATCACCTGAGGTCAGGAGTTTAAGACCAGCCTGGCCAACATGGTGAGACTCTACCAAAAATTTAAAAATTAGCTGGGTGTGGTGGTGCACACCTGTAATACCAGCTACTAGGGAAGCTGAGGCACAAAAATCACTTAAGTCCGGGAGGCAGAGGTTGCAGTGAGCCAAGCTCGTACCACAGCACTCCAGCCTGGGCAATACAGTGAGACTCCATCTCAAAAAAAAAAAAAATATCCTGTATAAAACAAAGGCCTTCAGGAGAACCGATCTTCATGTAATAGGAATTCCTGAAAGAGAAAACCAGTAGGTAGAACCAGAAAGAATTAGAAGAAAACTTTTCTGATCTGAAAAGCAGTAACTCAATCTGTCAATTGTGTTATCATATTTCACACAATTTTTTTAAAGAGGGGGAACCCAAAGAATAAAATAAATTGCCATGAATTTACATGGATAAATACAACTAAAAAAATAAATGGAAAAGAAAAGATAACTTTTTCTTATGGAAGAATTCTAGCTCTTATGACTAGGTACAGTGGTGTATGCCTGTAATCCCAGCACTATGGCAGGCTGAGGCCTGGGAGGCTGAGGCGGGAAGATCATTTGAGCCAAGGAGTTTGAGGCCAGCCTGAGTAACACAATAAAATCTTGTCTCTTAAAAAAAAAAATCCTAACTAGTAAGGAATAAGAAAAAATTTAAAATCACTCTTAGGCAATTATACCATAGTCATAGTTACTGCAGGAAAGATCTACCAATGAATGCTAAAATGGATGGTTAAAAGCTTAAGGAAAGGGGGGCTATTTTCTTAGCCTCAAAGCATCTCCCACAAAATATTTTTTAATTACTATGGTGCTTTTAACATACATTCACAAATTCTTTGATATGCCCCCCTTCAAGAGGTGAAGCTTATTCCCCCCCATTCCCTTGAATATGAGCCGAAATTGGTAAATCCGTTCTAACATAACATGAAAATGGATCAGCAGCAGCTTTAGAGTGGAGAAACCAGGCAGATACCATCTTAACCAAATGAGCAAAGTTAACAACATCAGCCATAAGAAACACTGACATCATGTACCCCGAGATACCATAACACGACAAAGGGAGATCACCTTTGTGGTACTCTTCCCCAAAAGCCATAGGTTCTGTGTAATTATAAGAAAACATCAGACAAGCACAAATCAAGGGACTTTCTACAAAATACTTGACCAGCCCTTCAGAAGTGTCAAGGTCAGGAAGACAAAGAGCAAGGACACAGATGGAAGGACATTACGGGGACATGTAAACTAAAAACAAAATGGTATCCTGAACTGAATCCTGAAACCAAGAAGATAGCAGTGGGAAAACAGAGTATTTCAATAAAGTTTTTTTTAAGAGTCGGGGTCTCGCTATGTTGCCCAGGCTGGAGTGCAGTGGCTATTCACAGGCAAGATCCCACTACTGATCAGCATGGGAGTTTTGACCTGCTCTGTTTCCGACCTGGGCCAGTTCACCCCTCCTTAGGCAACCTGGTGGTCCCCTGCTCCCAGGAGGTCACCATATTGATGCCGAACTTAGTGTGGACACCCGATCGGCATAGTGCACTACTGCCCAGAAGTCCTGAGCTCAAGTGATCCTCCCACCTCAGCCTCCCGAGTAGCTGGGACTATAGGCACATGCCACTGTGCCCAGGTACCAATGTTAATTTCTTGGTTTTAATCACTGTACCATGGTTATGGCAAGATGTTAAGATCAGAGAAAACTATAGGAAGGGTACATGAGAACTAGCACTGTCTCTACAACTCTTATGTAAGGTAAAATGATTTCAAAATAAAAGTTTTTTTTAAATTGATTTGCAAGGATCCAATGTTTTCTCATAATTACACAGAATTTGTGGATTTTGAGGAAGAATATAGATATAATTTGGGAGGAATTATAATTACATATTTTGGGAGGAATTTCAAACTTCAAAAATAAACAAGAGCCTTAAGTATTTAAGTCCACAGCACTTTGGGAAGCTGCAATGGGAAGATCCCTTAAGCCCAGGAGTTTGAGACCAGCCTGGACAACAACAACAAAAAGTTAGGCCAGGCACAGTGGCACTTGTCAGTAATCCCAGCACTTTGGGAGGCCGAGGCGGGTGGATCACCTGAGGCCAGGAGTTTGAGACCAGCCTGACCAATATGGAGAAATCCCATCTCTACTAAAAATACAAAATTAGCCAGCATGGTGATGCATGCCTGAATCCCAGCTACTCAGGAAACTGAGGCAGGAGAACAGCTTGAAACCAGGAGGCAGAGGTTGCAGTGAGCCGAGATCACGCCATTGTACTCCAGCCTAGGCAATAAGAATGAAACTCCATCTCAAAAACAAAAAAAAGCCGGGCGCGGTGGCTCACGCCTGTAATCCCAGCACTTTGGGAGGCCGAGGCGGGTGGATCATGAGGTCAAGAGATCGAGACCATCCTGGTCAACATGGTGAAACCCCGTCTCTACTAAAAATACAAAAAATTAGCTGGGCATGGTGGCACATGCCTGTAATCCCAGCTACTCAGGAGGCTGAGGCAGGAGAATTGCCTGAACCCAGGAGGCGGAGGTTGCGGTGAGCCGAGATCACGCCATTGCACTCCAGCCTGGGTAACAAGAGTGAAACTCTGTCTCAAAAAAAAAAAAAAATTAGCTAGGCATGGCACTGCATGCCCATAGTCTCAGCTACTTGGGAAGTTGAGTTGGGAACATCACTTGCGCCTAGGAGGTTGAGGCTGCAGTGAGCTGTGATCCCTTTTCAAGAAGTGAGGGCAATCTTTTAGACTATTTCAACTTTGTAGCTGGCTAAACTCTACACTTGACCAAACTCCTCCTACTTTTATACACAGAATAAACATCAGGTTACAGTAAAACTATCCAGATCAGATAAAAGGCGATCTTGATTTCGGCAGCCAGTCGTCGGCAGAATAAACCAGCCTCCCTCAATGGTAGCCTAAGTAGGCCTGCCAAAAGCCCAGGCTTACTTCATAGGTGATAGTGTTCAAGTTCTGTTGCCCAGAGCTGTGTTTATTCTTTCCACTTTCTTTACGCTGCTCTTTCAGATCAGTTAGTAACTGAAACACCTAAGAGGAGATACACAAAAGATGTTTATGAGTAAATCTGAGAAATATACTATCCAAGGTCAGTGGCTTTGAAGGATAAACAACAAAACATAGTACCTTCTTTAACCCGACCATCACCCACCTCCCAACTCTTGGATTTGGGCAAATATGAGTCCCAGAACCATGTGACTTTTTAAAAAAAAAAATGCTCTTTCATATAAGTCAAATAATCCAAATTCATTAATTTCCTTAAAATATTTCAAGTATGGCCGGGCGCGGTGGCTCAAGCCTGTAATCCCAGCACTTTGGGAGGCCGAGGCAGGTGGATCACAAGGTCAAGAGATCGAGACAATCCTGGTCAACATGGTGAAACCCCGTCTCTACTAAAACTACAAAAAATTAGCTGGGCATGGTGGCGTGTGCCTGTAATCCCAGCTGCTGGGGAGGCTGAGGCAGGAGAATTGCCTGAACCCAGGAGGCGGAGGTTGCAGTGAGCCGAGATCGTGCCATTGCACTCCAGTGTGGGTAACAAGAGCGAAACTCCGTCTCAAAAAAAAAAAAAATTTTCAAGTATTGCCGGGCATGGTGGCGTATGCCTGTAGTCCCAGCTACTCGGGAGGCTGAGGTGGGAGGATCGCTTGAGCCCAGGAGTTCTGGGCTGTAGAGCGCTATGCCGGTCGGGTGTCTGCACTAAGTTCGGCATCAATATCGTGACCTCCCGGGATCAGGGGACCACCAGGTTGCCTAAGGAGGTCGGAAACAGAGCAGGTCAAAACTCCCGAGCTGATCAGTAGTGGGATCTCGCCTGTGAAGAGCCACTGCACTCCAGCCTGGGCAACATAGCGAGACCCCGTCTCTTAAAAAAAAAGAAAAAGAAAAAAAATATTTCAAGTATTTCCTATCAATATACACATCACTAATCTCCTCTGTGATCAAAAATGTACTATTTGAAAACAAATTTTCTTAAAACAAATATGTTAAAGAATCCTGGGCCGGGCGCGGTGGCTCAAGCCTGTAATCCCAGCACTTTGGGAGGCGGAGGCGGGTGGATCACGAGGTCAAGAGATCGAGACCATCCTGGTCAACATGGTGAAACCCCGTCTCTACTAAAACTACAAAAAATTAGCTGGGCATGGTAGCGCATGCCTGTAATCCCAGCTACTCAGGAGGCTGAGGCAGGAGAATCGCCTGAACCCAGGAGACGGAGGTTGCGGTGAGCCGAGATCGCGCCATTGCACTCCGGCCTGGGTAACAAGAGCGAAACTCCGTCTCAAAAAAAAAGAATCCTGCTGCATTGGAAACTAATCATTTTCTGAGTGCTAAAAAAAAAAAAAAAAAGAAAAAGAAAAAAGAATCCTGCTTCTCTAGTATAAAAATCTAATATAATAATTTCTTTCTGGAGGTCAGGGTGCAGTGGCTCATGCCTGTAATCCCAGCACTTTGGGAGGCCAAGGCAGGCAGATCACCTGAGGTCAGGAGTTTGAGACCAGCCTGAACAACATGGAGAAACCCCATCTTTATTAAAAATACAAAACTAGCTGGGAGTGGTGGCGCACGCCTACAAAAAAATTATTATTTCTGGAAAAGAAAAATTTTGAGGCAAGTGATAATACAGAGTTTACAAAAAAAGAAAAAGAAAGGAAAAAATGCCATGGATTTTTTTTTTTTTTGAGACAGAGTCACGCTCTTGTTGCCCAGGCTAGAGTGCAATGGCATGATCTCAGCTCACCACAACCTCCACCTCCCGGGTTCAAGTGATTCTTCTACCTCAGCCTCCCAAGTAGCTGGGATTACAGGTGCCCGTCACCCGGCCTAGCTAATTTTTTCTATCTTTAGTAGAGATAGGGTTTCACTATGTTGGTCAGACTAGCCTTAAATTCTCAGGCAATCCACTTGCCTCGGCCTCCCAAAGTGCTGGGATTACAGGCATGATTACACTGCGCCTGGCCAGTCATGGATTTTTAGAAGCAAACTTTCCCCACAAGGATAAAACATACATGCATTAGGGCTGGGGGCAAGAGGGAATCTCAATGTCATTCCTGTTTTAGAGATTCTACCAGAGAAATGAAGAAAAGACAAGCTCTCACAACATTGCTAGATACAATGCAACCCCTCTCGTCTGCTGTTCCTTTCAGAAACAGCGGCATGACATCCAAAGAATGCAATGTTTCCCAACGGATAAAACACCCAAACACCTAGCAAAGTTCAAACTGGACAAAGAAGTTCCTAAAAGGCAAAGGCCTGGACAACAACTACTCAGCCATTTCCTTCCTGTTCTAAGCTGCAATCACTTATGATTGAGCCTTCGGGGAGAAAAGAATATGGCCAACTGTGTTTACTCTGCTACGTTCTTTTTTGGGGGTGGTGGGGCAGCATGGTTTCTTTCTTTTTGCTTCCTTACACTCTGGGAGTTTTTGGGAACAGCGTTCTCAAAGACTCTCTACTAGGCTAGAGTACAGTGGTGATCACTGGAAACTCAAACTCCTGTGCTCCAGTGATCCTCCACTCTGCCTTCCAAGTAGCTAGGACCCTAGTAGGTGTGTGCTACCATGCCCAGCTAACTTTTTTTCTTTTTTTTTTTTTTGAGAGCTGGAGGGGTCTTGCTATGTTTCCCAAGCTGATCTCTAACTCATAGCTTAAGCAATCCTCTCTCTTTGGCCTTCCAAAGTACTGAGATTACAGGCGTGAGCCACGGCCCTTAACCTACTACCTCTAGACCTCCTCTGAGTCTTCCTGAGTTCAGACTCTGGCATATGGGAAATTCACAGTCAAAATATAAATGGTTCTTTCTACACATGGAACTAGCCTATCAGATGGTTCTGCTAGTGCCAAATAGGAAGCAAAAATGCTGGCATTCTTCCCAACCTTTTTCCTTCTTTTCCTTTCCCCAGCAACCCTACCCTAAGCCCCAAAAATTATAAATCTGTTAATTTCTACTATTCAGAAAGGTGAGTCAACTAAACTCACTTTCAAAATAAGGATGTTAATGCCCATAAGACTATTTGAAGATCAAAATAACTATGTACAAAAACATTATAAATATATCAAGGGTGATAATTAGGAAAAAGCATAAATGTTTTAATGGGAAATTTTGCAGACATAAACAGCTCTAAAATAGATGCTTCTATCCTATGACTACATCCCAAATGATGATCTGGAATCTTTGAGATTTAGGGACAGTTGCCTCCTCCAAAGTCTTCCTAGCTTCTCTGAAGTGCTTTGTGTAACGTATCAACCTTAAACTATTCCAACGTCCACCACATGGTGCAATATGTCTTGTTTTAAAATGGAAAATCCAAATGAATTCAGTCATTTCTTTCTCTTTTTTTTGATGGAGTCTCACTCTATTGCGCAGGCTGGAGTGCAGTGGCGCGATCTTGGCTCACTGCAACTTCCGCCTCCCAGGCTCAAATGATCCTCCTGCCTCAACTGGGATCCCAAATAGCTGGGACTACAGGCGCCTGCCACCACACCCAGCTAATTTTGTTATTTTTAATAAAGATGGGGTTTCACTATGTTCGACAGGCTGGTTTTGAACTCCTGACCTCAAGTGATCCACCCAACTCAGCCTCCCAAAGTGCTAGGATTACAGGCGTGAGCCACCGCACCCAGACTGAATTCAGTCATTTCTAACCAAAATGAATTCAACAATCTTAGGAGCAAAGGGCAGACTATCAGAGAGGAAAATGTAACAGTCCAATTTACCTCATAGTTACTGAGAAGCGCAGAATTGGCATCCTTCCTGCAAAAAAAAAGTAAGCTATCATCAGTCTGGGTTCATACCCCTTTCTGGGTATCATATATCTGTAAAAGAATTCCTGTCAAGATGTAGTATCCACTTTTGGAATTTGGGGACTACAACCTAAAACTGAAACTGAGAAATGTCCTAAGTGCAACATGTTTAGCTAGCTGAGGACAATTTCAGAGCAGACCTGGAAACAAAGTGCTGTCCCATCACACACCCATGTCCTCTCCCCATTCCTACCTGCCTCCCATCAGCTACTGACATCTTAGGCAGCCACGTCCTCCTGCTGAATCAACAAAAATGGCCCACTTAACACTAATGTTACCAGTGGGAATTCCAGCCATGGTCAAGTATCCTGCCAAATACTCACCATGCTCCAAAGGTGTTCACCACCTACATCAACTCAACAGGTAGAGTCAGTGTAGCAAGCAGTGGCCAAAAGCTGGATTAGCTGTGTAATAGTTAATCCAGGCAATATGCCATCTTTTGTGAGTGAAGAAACAACAATGCGACATATATTAAATCAAAATCGATCCACTCCACAACAGCACATCAGAAAGCATTGTTTTCATCAGTCTGGAGGCAGTGGAGTATGACAAAGAACATAGTTTTGGGCCAGGCGCAGTGGCTCACACCTGTAATCCCAGCACTGTGGGAGGCCGACGTGGGCGGACCACAAGCTCAAGAGATAGAGATCATCCTGGCCAACATGATCAAATTCCATCTCTACTAAAAATACAAAAATTAGCTGGGCACGGTGGTGTGTGCCTGTAGTCCCAGCTACTCCAGAGGCAGAGGCAAGAGAATCGCTTGAACCCGGAAGGCGGAAGTTGCGGTGAGCTGATATCGCGCCACTGCACTCCAGCCTAGGCAACAGAGTGAGACTCTGTCTCAAAAAAAAAAAACTTGGCCGGGCGCGGTGGCTCAAGCCTGTAATCCCAGCACTTTGGGAGGCCGAGGCGGGTGGATCACTAGGTCAAGAGATCAAGACCATCCTGGTCAACATGGTGAAACCCCGTCTCTATTAAAAATACAAAAAATTAGCTGGGCATGGTGGTGCGTGCCTGTAATCCCAGCTACTCAGGAGGCTGAGGCAGGAGAATTGCCTGAACCCAGGAGGCGGAGGTTGCGGTGAGCCGAGATCGCGCCATTGCACTCCAGCCTGGGTAACAAGAGCAAAACTCCGTCTCAAA